AAAAAAAAAAAAAAAAAAAAAAAAAAGAAATCCGATGGCACGAAGAATTTTGGAAATGTCTTTTATAGAGTTGAACATCGATCTTTATATACCTTGGGGCTGTTAACCGGAGAACTAGCGGTATCTTCCAAGTCATCGACGCTGCTCGAATAATATTTACTAGGTTGATTAATATTGTTGTTGCACTTGCTCCTCTTCATGTTGTTGAAGTTTAGTCTTTGATTGAGCAGCACAAATTGGCTCATATTTTCTGAATAACCATGCCAGGCTGCATCAGAAACCATAGAAGGGCTGCTGCTCATGATAAAGCTTCCATTAACATTGGATTTGGAGCTTGAAAAGTCCTCTAAATAAGCTGTCCATCCACTCTCCTCCTCATCATCACCACCCACATAATTATCATCTATAAGATGAATATTATTGGTGTCAATATTGTTGTTTGTTGATGAAATATTAGTATTCATGGGAAAATATTGATGGGATTTTTTTTTTAAAGGAGGATTTATGTGTTTTCTAACTTTGGTTAGACCTTGAGAAGAGGTGAGAATAAGGGGAAAGAAATTAATAAGGGTGCCCACCACAATGTATGATGTGGGCCATTAGGAGTTGAGGCAGTTAAGATGAGTTGGACTTTAGGCATAATGGGAATTATTAATTAAGTAAAATTATATTATATATTAATTTATATGGACCAAAAAAAAAATGAGGGGAAAGATATAGAATTTTAAGGGGGGGTTGATTGTGTTAGTTGACTATGTGATGAAATTAGGAAGATTAATTGTATTTTGGGTGATAATTGTGATATAAATGGTGTGAGAGCTTGAATTGGTCAATTTTATCAATATTAATTTGGACTCCGATAAAATGTGTGTACTCAATTTTAAGAATATTTGTCTCTCTGACTTAAATTATTATACTTTTCAGATTAATGGATTTTCCTTTCTTTTGAATTTTTTTTTAATAATTTCTCGACATCCTTTGTGAAATCATATGCACATTCTATGTAACATTAACTATTCATACACCCAAATTAATATAAATACGTATCATTATTTCATTATTTATATGTCATATCATAATTAATATTATTATCATATTAAAAATAAAAATAAATAAATTAATTGGGCTTCCAATTGCACTAGGTGTCCAGCCAATCATCCCCTTCCTCATTTTAAGCTCAATTCTTGTTGGACTAATAGTCAATGAGATTATCTTCAAGCAACCCTTTGATTTTATTGGGCTTTTATTTATTCTCAAAATTGATCTCCTTAATCCACGACCATATGGCCCAATAACACACCACAGGTCCACAGAACCAAACTTTATGGAAATGGATTGCAACATCTCATTTCGATTCACCTCCACAAAATCTAAATACTCTCTCTTTATCCATTCATCTCATTTTTTTTGTTCCCAAAAATCCTCATCTTTATGCAAGAAAAATCAATGCCTCATGCTCTCTAATAAGCTTCACTCATTCTCCTTCACAATAATTCTCTCCACAATCACAAAAACATCATAACTCATAATGATTACAAGCCTCTCATCAGTCTCTTCTTCCCAATCCCTCCTGAGATTCATCAATCCAAAGGCCCCCGTTTCAGATTTTCCCTTAAAGTTGAGAACCCATTTCTCCAAACCACTGTCAGCTGCCACATGTTCGACGTTTTGCCCCAACGGGCTGTTTCTCGCCGGGAGAATCGGATTCAGACAAGGCCGGCCGAGAAAGTTCAAAACTTGGGCACTCGCGGGGTTCGATACCGGCGGGCTCGAGAGCGCCCAGTCAGTTATTGAGGCAGCCGCGGTTCTGACCGCCATTATCATCGTCCACGAAAGCGGCCATTTTCTTGCTGCTTATCTGCAGGGCATCCATGTGAGTAAATTTGCTATCGGGTTCGGCCCGATCTTAGCTAAGTTCAATTCGAACAACGTGGAGTACTCGATTAGAGCTTTTCCCTTAGGCGGCTTCGTGGGGTTTCCCGATAATGACCCGGATAGTGACATTCCGGTCGACGATGAGAATTTGTTGAAAAATAGGCCCATTTTTGATAGGGTGCTTGTGGTATCTGCCGGTGTAGTTGCTAATGTCGTGTTTGCTTACATCATAATATTCCTGCAAGTCTTATTTGTCGGGCTGCCTGTTCAAGAATCATTCCCGGGCGTGCTGGTGCCGGATGTCAGGCCCTTTTCGGCCGCCTCTCGGGACGGCGTATTGCCCGGTGACATCATTTTAGGAGTTAACGAAACCGAGCTTTCGAAAACGGGCCCGAGTTTAGTCAAAGAGGTGGTTGAGGTTATTCGAACAAGCCCCAAGAAAAAAGTTGTGTTTAACATTAGCAGGGGAGAACAGAATGTGAAAATAAACGTCACGCCGGATGAGAATACAGATGGTACAGGTAAAATCGGAGTCCAATTGTCTCCGAACGTGAAATTCTCAAAAATCAAACCACAAAACATACTCGAGGTTTTCCGCTTCTCGGGCCGCGAGTTCTGGGGTCTAACGAAAGACGTTCTCAACAGTCTAAAGCAGATGTTCGTGAATTTCTCCCAGTCAGCCAGTAAGGTCTCGGGCCCGGTCGCCATCATAGCAGTCGGTGCTGAGGTGGCGAAGTCGAATGCTGATGGGCTTTACCAATTTGCCGCGGTTTTGAATCTTAATCTTGCTGTGATTAATATACTTCCTCTGCCGGCTCTTGATGGCTGCTCGTTGGCTTTTATCCTAGTGGAGGCAGTTAGGGGTGGGAAGAAACTTCCGTTTGAGCTGGAGCAGCGTATAATGTCATCTGGGTTCATGCTCGTTTCCTTTCTCGGGATGTATCTTCTAGTTAGTGATACGCTAAATTTGGATTTCTTCAAGGATTTATTATGATACTTTTTGGTTCTTGCTTGAATTGTGTTTTTCTTGTGATTTAGTTGAAGGGGAAGGAGTATATATATTGGTTTTTCTTGTTACCTGTTGTTTCTTTCGTGACCGTTCTATATACTCTTCGTTTTCATTGTTGGGATCCTTTTTTCGTTCTTGATTTGATGGCAGTGAACTTCCATTGACAAACTTTAAGTTCGAAAAACACTTTAGGTTTTGTACTAGTTGTTTGTAGGTTCTCTATGCTTATGAGCCTGTGTTTTTGTTTCAGAGTACTTTTGAGTTTGTTGTCACAAGATGGAATTGAACCCCAGATGAGATATTCATATATTTGATCTTTCTAGCATTTTGTTTCAGTGTTGAGCATCTCTTTCAGATGATATTTCAACCAAATTGAAAGCCTGCTGAATTTTGTTTGAATCAGTTGAAAAGAAAAACAAAAAAAAAGATGAAGACTGCACAATACAATCCTACTTTATTGTGTGTGCTATGCTATTTATGAGAGTTAAATGTGCATAATAGTATAAAAAACAGTTGAAATTAATATGGGCACATGATAGCCTCAGTCCTAAGGCCCCCTCAGCTCAATAATTCAAGCATGGACAAAATAATTGATTCATACACCATGCACAACAATTGCTTTCTTTTAATGTACTCAGTTGATTGAGAAAGCATTACATTACTCTTACAGTTACAAGAAAGCACATTATGTATCAAACTCCATTGCACACTGCCAATTGAAACATGCAAATACAAATTTGAAAATACCATAAACCATAATCAAGAAAACACAAAACACACCCAAAAAGCCAAACGGTGTACTAAAACTTAAAAAACTTGAGCATTATATCAAAATGGCCATCGATCGATCACCGGCGGCCGCCGCCGCCTCCGCCGGAGCCACTTCCGACTCCGACACCCTTTCCGGCCCCACCACCAACTCCCACCCCTACTCCGATTCCGATACCAACCCCAAACCCTCCACCACCACCGTGACCACCACCTAGGCCTCCGCCACCGCCAGCTCCACCACCCAAACCTCCTCCCGCACCTCCACCGAAGTCACCACCGTGTCCCGACCCACCACCCAAACCGCCGCCTCCTCCACCTCCACCTCCTCCACCACCACCGCCTCCTCCGCCAATTCCTCCGGCTCCACCGCCAACACCTCCTCCGGCACCAAACCCGCCACCATGACCGGATCCACCGCCAACACCACCACCACCTCC